CAATCTCCTCTTAAATATGCCCAAGGTAGGGGCGAGGACCACTTCCCTGGGAAGTTGGTTCCAGATTTTGGCCACCCTAACTGTAAAATATTGCCTTCTGATCTCCAACCTAAACCTATTCTCCATCAGCTTATGACCATTGTTCCTCGTCACCCCAGGTGGTGCTGGGGAGAAAAGGGCTCTGCCTATTTGCTGTTGATCCCCATGGATGCAGCAAGTGACAGCTCCCTTTCCCCTTTCTCTTTATTATGTAGACTGAGGAAGAAGGTGGTGGAAAAAAATTAAGCAACACTCCATGTCTTCCAATTATTTTCTACATTTTGAGAATTAACATTCAGAATTTTTTGAGCTCTCTGTGTTATTGGACACATCTCCATTATCCTTTTTAATCTCTAACTGCAGTATTCAATCAACTCTTCAGACAGTATTAAAATAGCTATGCAAATTATGTGCACACTAAGACTTGTGCAAGTACATATGCATCATTGCATTTATACTTACTTTCTTTCTCCAAAAACATATTTTTTTCTTTTTTCTTTTTCTTTTTTTTTTTTGTCAGAAGTACCTGGTATATAATGTTCACTAGAAGCAAATAAATAATGGATGTTGGTGTAAAAATCCTGTCCACAGGAATTCAGTTTTTATTTTAATGATGCTTTTGTACATTATTTGCCATAGTGTAACCTCACAGTGCTCCAAATGTATAGTTATCCATACCCAGAATGAACTTACAGTATATAAGAACAGTAGCATTTGGTCATTAATGTAAAGCTTGTGACACCTTATTTATGTCTATGAAAACAGGTTCTCGCATCACAACTGTATTATGACTAATTTTTTTTTCAAAAAAAGCATTGATAATCTGTAATTTTTTCTTGGATTAATTTTTACAATTTATTATACAATTAAACCTGAATTTTTATACCTGTGATGATTTTTTTTTAATAACATCTATTATGCAAGAATAGAACTTTCCCATTTACACAGAGAATAAACTACTAATCATACCAAAGCAAATTAACACATTTCATTTTTGGTGGAATTTGTAAATTCTCATTAAAGTCTTCAGGCGGTGCATGCTAAACTTTAAAAACAGAAATATACTGTATTTATTTGACTAGAAGATGACTCTGATTATAAGATGACTCCCCAATTAGATTCTATATATGGAAAATTTATAAATTAATTATAATTTTCCAGTATAGAATATAATTATTGGAGGTTTGATCTTGATTTTGTTCCCTTCCCACTGCTGCAGCAAGGAAAATAAATCTGGGGTGGGGTGGGGGTGGTCAGGTAGCCCCTTTGCTACCTTCCCTCAGTGTTTTTTCCTGGCAGCCCCTTCACCTTCTCCTCATTATCATACCCAGCTTTCCCTGAGCACATAGAAGTGAGGAGCAAATTTGAAAACAATAATATTGAAATTAAACATGGCTGTAGCAATTTGCATATAGTACCCATGCACTTAGTTCATCTAGAATTGATGCATTTTACCTTGTTTTTGAAACTGCTGCAAGTTTTGGAGCAGGTAATCTATAAACACACGTCGAGCAGCACTTTGGCACCTACTTGTATGTAGTGCAAACTATGCTTGATATTAGTTCAAAGGTAAAGGCTCATGATTTACCAAATAGTTCATTGGGCTGGGCCATACCACAGACAACAGTGTTTCAAGCCATGGTGACCCCACAGCTCAAGACTGCTCAGTGTGTGTGTGTACTCCAGATACCCCCTGTGGAGAAATCGCCCCAAGTCTCTCTCTGCCTACGGGACTGGCTAAGCTGTAAAAGTTCCAAAGGGAGGGGGAACATGCTCCTCCTTTAGTCTCAGGTTCCCACCCATGTGACTAGTCATTTCACCTGGTCAATCTGTCATTTGGAAGCACTGTCAGCAGCCAATGGGTCTGCTTCTGTTGGGAACTTAGCAGGTGTATAAAAAAGCCCCTCCTTAAGGAAGGAGGCTCAGCCATGTTTTGGAACACAGCAGACACCTTTGGGAACATGGGAACAAGCAGATGGCCTCTGGAGCTCTTAGACTGTAGATGAACATGTGAGTAACCTACCTGAAATGTAGCAGTAACTTAGGATCAAGCGTTCTAGCAACCTATCAAAAGGATATCAAGCTGCTTCCATTTGCTCAGGGTTATTCTTTTGATACTAGTTTGACTTGTACCCCTCCCCATGCCTACTCTCTCACCCAATAAAACCATCCGCTATAGCAAGCCTTGTTGTACATGCTTGAGAGGGATGGGGCAGGCCTTTTTGCTCCCTTTGCTTGGCGGACTAAAGGAGGCTACATTCTATGCTTCAGGCTATAAGAAGCACCCAAATGTATCCTGCTGGAGTTAAATAACCCCTAGGTCTACAGGGCCTGTGTACCCCAACCGGCACAGGGCCCAACAGCAACTGGAGCTTGGGTGATGGCAGTGGTTACCCCAGGCTGGTGGGTGTGCTCCAAGAAGGGGGTTGGCCAGAAGTTGGTGCCCCTGGGGAGGTACCTGCAACTTGGTTTTAGTTGGGTTTAGTGAGGCAGGTGGCTCAGTGCAGAAGTGCCCCCTACTGTCCTGCCACACCCCCCACAAACAACTCATGGGCTACTTAGCACCCACTCGTGACTGGAACTGGATGTTCTTGTCATGAGTCCTGGGATGCTCCAAAAATGTATATATGCAAAAAGAGATGCAAGGCAACTTGGTCCAGCTTCACCTTATGAAGTGTGGGGCAACACTAAGGATTAGATAGAGCATTGTAACGGGGCTCAGCAAGCCAAGCTTCTAGTCTAAGCCCTGACACTGCCCTGCTGATTGGTTTTAGGCAAATCACTGCATATATTTGTGTCTCTGCTGTGCTATCATGGAGCTAATGATACATACTTCCCTTGTAATGTGCTTTGGGATATACTGATAAAAATTCACTGTAAAAAAGCTAAGTGTTAATTCATTGTTATCCCTTTTGAGCCAAGCTGTTAGTTAAAATTTGGAGTTTTACATGCTGTTTCTATTTGAAGTTTATGATGATGTCCTGTTCTTTGATGCCATCCTGTTTATTTACAGAGAATGTACACAGACAGTCTCCAATTACTTCTGATGTGTCGAAGTGGACTGTATTTAGCTGTGCAACTGCATATTTTGACACGAATGCAGAGTTTGCAATTCAGTTTTGGTAGCACTAGTCTAGACACTAGTCTAGGCTACTCTAGACACTCAGTAAGGTGGCGTTCTGGCTGGGCAGCTGCCTCCGGGGGGGAAAAAAACCCTCAGATATGAACATAAGCCAGGGCAAAAACTGTGGTAAGGTTTAATTGCAAGATGCAATGGGCCAGCTACAAGAATAGGGCTGGAAAGAGATTTCAGCAGTGCTTAGCTTTGATTCTCAGCCAAGGTTCTGGGGTACCCTGGGGTGCCATGAGATCCTTTTAGGGGTGCCCAGGAAGTGTGAGGAGATAAGCAGATATGGGCAGCTCCTCTTGTTTGATGAGTGTCCTGCCCTCCGCTGCCTTGCCCTTCTGCAAGGAAGTAGGCATTGTAACAGATACATTCGTTTTTTAAATAATGTGCCACTCAGTTAACAAAAGCTACAGAGGTGTGCCTTGAGTCTGGCAAGGGATACCTTGAATCTAAAATGTTTAGACTCAACCTGTGGCCTGGGGGTTAGAGAACTTTTGGAAGCAGAAGATAAAGGTACAAGCTTCATTCCCTGAGTGAGTGCTACTAACCAGTAGGTTAGTGTTTATTTTACCTCCAGTAGGTATGTGTCCAGGACAATTCTGTTTTCACCAGCACAAAATAGAATTCCCAGCTGTTTATACGTGTAAAAAATTGCTGTTATGTGCCTGTATATGCACTGCTTACATATATGGAAGTTAAATAGGATCTGTCACAAAGACCAGTTTCCCTCTGTGCTGAAGGAATTGAATGATAGTAGACAGTTTCTTTGCTCAAAGTTCCAAGCCTCTTTCCATCTTACCAGTATAGTTTCCCTGGGCTCTCTCTAAGGCCCACACTCAGTGAGCTTTACTGGCTTTCTCCTTGCTTTTCTCTTTCTACCTGGCTGGCTTTCAGTGCTTCTAAATGCAGATTCAGAAACTTCTAGCAAAGAACACCGAGCTCCTGTATTTGTATTCAACCACCAGTGAAACCCTTGTACCTTCATAGCTCATCTGATGATGGGCCATATATTTGGCAGGTGTTTTAGGCAGTAGTTCTAATTATGTCATCTTTCTTGCTTCAAAAAGGAGCTTAACCATACCTCCATTTTTTTCCTGGGTGAAGCACACAAGTCTACCTTTTAGCTTCTATAAAGTTTCACTCATACTCTGTGATAGCAATATTATTATGATTGACCATTCCAGATTTTGTTATTTGTACATTGCAAATTCTTATACCATCTCCTTAAGTACCACTGAATGTCTAAGTGACTAAATCTAATGCTCTGCCATATTTGTGTATGTATCAAAGTGCTCCTCACTTCCACTTCAAAGATGTTAGAGGTGTGACTAGAGTTGCCTATTATTCCATACAACCATTAGTAAAATGGGTGAAATAGTCTCAGGGAAGGGTTGGAAGCTTAGATACTTCTTTACCTACTGAAAAAATTTTAAGTTTTTATTAAAAATAATTTAAACCAAAATCCCATATTCCCAACCTCCTCAAAAGATTTTAGAGTTGAGATCTAAAGATAGTCCAAATTTCTGAAATCTGCTGAAATTTCGTAGCTGGCTTCTCAGCCTGGTTTTGCTCCATTCTTGCCTATTTTTAATGATACACTGAAATTAACAGGACTGCGTAGTGAAAATAAGGATAGCAGAATTATATGATTTTAAATTTTGATTGTTTTAAGTCTGCATGTGGATCTTCATTTTTTTGGATCAGACCCATAAGTGTTGTTTTTGTCTCCTGAAGTAGAACCAGTCTCTAGGAGCTAGAATGCAAACTGATTAGTATCTTTATTATATATAAAGCATGCTTTAACAACAGTCCTTGCAATATATTTATATTTCAGCAACTATTCAAAAACGCTTGAAGAAAGAGAAAAAAGCAAAGAGAAAATTGCAGGAGGCCCTGGAGTTTGAATCAAAGCGAAGAGAACAAGTGGAACAGGCACTTAAACAGGCCACGTCAGGAGACAGTCTCAGGATGTTAAATGGTATGTTTTAGCTGGAGTTTGACAAGGAGCTTAGAATGATGTTTATCAGTTTTAATTAGCTGAAAAACATAAAATAGTGCACAAAAAATCCTGTTTAAAAAAAAAAAAGTCTTGTGCAGAAATAATTACAAATCAATTGCAGGCCAAGTGCACTAAATCATTAATTAAAAAAATAAAATATCTAGAAGAAAGCATAGACAAATTTATGTGAAAAGGAATACTATATATTGTTACTATAGAAACTTGTAAAAATGATGATTGGGGCTGTATGAAACTTGGTTTTAGTTTGCATGAGGTTTCCACCTGTGATGGTTGAGTTTCAAAATTACTGAGTTTCATTTTGAAAATAGCTTGTCAAACCCAATATGAACTTGTCCAGCCTCAGGATTTATTAAGCTTACCATGTCCTGTATAAGTCTTTATGCCTGATTAGGTTTCATAGACATCCCAAATGTTATTTAAAAAAAACCAACACAACTTAATGCCAAAAAAGTGGAAGTAACCAAGAACAAGAACAGCAGAAAACAAAAAAATGTGTTTGGTGATACAACAAGATGTTGAATCTAAAGCAGAGCTGTCAAAAGTTAGCATTTTTTTCTTTATTTGAAATTTAACTTAGTTGGGTGTGTCCAGATGAGCGCACACGTGAGGTTTGTGGCACCTCAAAGCAATTTGAGGCATTACAAACGGCACATGGCATACATGCACCCATTTGGTACACTGCTAATATGCAGTGTGGCATTTTTTTTTGACACTGGGAGATCCCATGGGGTGTCAAGAAAAACAACAGTGGGGAAAAAGCAGTGCAGTGCATGTGGCAACAGCATGTGCCTCCAGAAATGGAGCCTGGCCAGCCAGAGCCATGCTCTGGCTGCTGACCAGACCCAAGCAGCCAGATTGGCACCACCGCTACCACAGGAGGCTCCCAGGACCCCAGGTAAGGCTGCTGGGATCAGCACAGCATCCCCTTATCAAACTAGGCCAATTCTCCCCATACCAACCCCATTTGCAGGGGCATTCACAGCAGCACAAATTTGTGCTGCTGGTCTTTTTGCTGTGGCAACCACATGCTCATGTATGCAGACCTGAATTACCTTTAAACCAGCTAGATTAGGTACTGCTAATTGTGGCACTGTGGTAGAATGGAACTCAACACAGGTTGCCTCAGATGCTGGATACTTGGCCAGTTAGCCTGCGCTGAGTCCTGTGCTAACATGGCTACATTGCTAGCAATATGTAAGCTAGTCCATTTAAAACCAGCTTGTGTATGTCTATATGTTCTGCAGTGACTTATCCAGAATATACTGATGACTATGCTGGAGCAAATTGAATTTGGATATAACATAAGAGAATTTGGCCTGGTTTCTTTTCAGAGGTGCAGGGCATTTGTAGTTCCTAATGACTACACCAGAATTTGAAGATACTCAGCATTTCTGAAAATTGTGTCCCTTATTTTTAAAGGATGTCAGGACTCTGGTAATGTTATCAGCATATATTTACATCCACAATTAATTGTGGGCCTGAATAGTGACATTTAGACCACTGCTTGATTTATAGTCGCAATCAGGTAGCTATCTAGGTATTAGTAACAGCAAGAGGAACAAATGCTGATATTTCAATGATAATCTGATTGCATGAACAAATCAACTAGCTCATTAGCATCTTATTTTATGATGACAAAATATGAAGGGCTATTGTGAAAAATTTAAAAAAAAAAAGAACTCTGAAGATCTTT